TGGCTACATTCTCATAGTGATGCCTCTCAGGATAAGCACTAATCTTTGACATACTGTCGGCCAGTGTATCAAGGATATCGGTCTTCAAACCTTTAGGAATCACCATTACAGATCAGTCATTAGCATACCTGCAATTGGCTTCTTTCAGCTGCAGCTCCACATCATGTGAGAACTGTGGAATCGGGAAGGGGTCAGGCCATTCAACAGAATCTCCACTACTAAGAGAAGGGAAGCTGCAAGTGTCCAGTGTAGAATGAAGAGAAAATGAGAAGAAGAGACGTCATCAGCTGTTTCACAGTTGCCCGCCCCACAGGAAGGTCTTTGATGTCTGTTAGGTTGCACAACTGATTATTGAAATCAGGATCCTCAAATTGCAAAATGAATCCACCTCTCAGACCAAGCTTTGTTCGCAACACCTGATACAGCTCCTCAACACTGGATGGGATGTCTTCAATGAAAGACGTCTGATTTCATTTTCTGATATGATGACACGCAGCAGCATTGTAGACTACTTTTACCTGAAAAGAGATAAAAATACATAGTTAAGTATAAATGTTTACTATAACCTCTTCATATCAGTCCCCGTCACACACACATCTATCCTTAAAAAATTATTCCCACATTTTTTAAGTATCAGTGAACAGAACATGGAATCTGATATTTTCTATTCTGAGTTTGGCCAGTTCCATATTTGGTCTTAAATCTGATACTGGCACGATTTTTCGCAATGCAACCTCAGTCTAAACTGTCAATCTGAAGTCAAAGAGATGGGTCACCTGAACTGAAACTGTTGCCTTGAGGCACTAACAGTTGTAGTTAAAAGTAGCTTTCAATATGCAGACATTTTCAGTGCAATTTGTTTCTACAAAGCCATTCAGGTCACAATCTCATCACTGTGGTTACAACTCCAAATCTGCACACTATGTAGTAGCAAAAGTCCTTTTAGGCAAGTCCTGCCACTCGGCCGCCATCTTGGTAACTGCTCTGGGAGCTATTTCGACTAACAAGACCAGGCTCCTACGATTGGCTGAAATAGGTTTCCGCTTTGGTTGTTAAAAGCAGACGATTGGCTTTCTAGCGGGAGGGGCGGGATAACCGCCATCGTTGCCATTATGGGCTTTCCCCATAGAGCTGTATTGAGGATTTGTGGCATGTCTCCTATAAACTGTCTCTGGTAGTAGCCATTGTTCGACAACAAGCCACAACTAAAAATATGGCTCTCTTTATCCTTTTATTAGTTTTATTATGCGCTCACAAATGATCTTGCTCAACTGCAGATCCTCGTAAAAAGGAAACTTTCGAAACTGAATTCAATGGGCTCCATGTTTAATTATGTAAAATTAGTAAGCTGTGTGTGATATTTGTGTTATTGGTCTTTTGCACGTGTGGGTTGTAGCTAGTTTGTACTAAAAGGTGTAAATTCAATTGTTTTAGGGCATAGTTGTGTGAAAGTGTATTGAGCTGCATTATATTGAGGTGTTTAATATTTTGCAGTTCCACGCCAAAAAAACAAAACAAACAAACAAAATAACACTACAATTTATATTTTTTCCGATGAAAAATGATCATTCCCTCGAACACAAATTCAATTAGTTGTATCAGTCAAAATTATCACAATTACACATTTTTCAAAATTGCTCAGCCCTAATAACAGTATAATTACTTACAGTGGGTTTATTTCAGCAAGAATGTCTTGGGAGTGACCAAAAGGTAGCCTTGAATGAAGTATGACACCTGTGGCACGTAGTCATTGAGATCCTCTGGTTTCACCAACAGACATGTAGTAGGACTTTTCCTCACAAGATGGTAACTCCGTAGATGCTCCACATAGTACGATGTAAAACACTACTATACCCATAAATCTTGATATGTTCAGTCTTGCACAGTAAAGCTAGGTAGATTGATGAAAGTGATGACTTGCATCTTCTTGGCAAATTGGCAAGAGTCCAATACACACCACAGACTTTGCGTTTTTTCCTGGAGGTCCCAAGGGATTACAAATTTCAAAGTCGTCAATGTACAAGGTTATGCATAAACTAAAATCTTGACCTGAGAGAACTGGATTACTTTTAAAGTAGTCACCATCCAGACATGACCTTTAGTGACCAGACTGTTCAACTGGTTTGTTTACTCTCAATACATGCAATATTTCTTCTCTTTTGAGTAGATCAGAAAGTAATTTTAGAATAGGGACATAAACAGTATGAGACCTTTGTGTACTCAAAACATATTCAACAGTTCAATGACAGAAAAGTTTTGTCTATAAATGACTGCCTTTTATATTCTGTGCCTAGAGGTCCCTCTCTTGAAAGCAAAGTGAGTGGGTTTGAACTCTGTAATGCTTCAGTCAACGATGATGTCAATTCCTCAGATGTGCAATTATGCACTGTCAAAATATTTTCAATTGCCTGCCTTGTTATTTGTCCAGCACCTTCACCAATATCAAATAAGTCATCCACAATTTCTTGAATTGCTGACTTTGACACATGAAGGACTGCTTGCAGCCTAATTAAAAGGAATGCAATCCGCCTATGAATGGACTTTTGTACAGGCTGAAATACAGGTTCTGGCAACAGTAAATCTGGTGACACTAAATCATCCCCTTCATCGTTTACAAATGACTGACGGTCTGAATGACAGTCTCTCGATTTCTCAAATGTCTCTTTAGATGAAGAAAATATTGCTTGATATTGGTTGGAGCTGAAAAAGTACAAAGTTCACAGTGTATTTTAGCAACAGGATTTGATCCTTTTTTGTGCTCCTTTATATGTTTTGCAAAATCCACATGGGATTGGAGGACTGTCAGACAGTTTGGGTAAATGCAGCTCAAGCCCCGTCTTTCACGTCCATGACTGTCTTTGTAGTGACTCACTACTGTTTTACTGCCAAAACATACAGTACATTAACTGAATAAAGTGTTAAAGCCTTAGCCATTTGAACTCAAAACATGACGAAAACAATCTGTACACAATTATACGAAAAAGGTACTCCTATTTAGGAGAGGTTATAACACAACTTCAACACACACTTCTACCACCTTTCACAAACATAGACAAGGCAAATATTGACAATTTCTTGATATTACAAACATTAATTGTGCATTTTCTTTTTAACCTATCATTTGATGCTTTGGCGATTTATTTTTTATGTGATCGATTTTGATTTTTACCTTCACCAAGGAGGTTATGTTTTCATGCCTGACCCTGTCCATCTGTTAGTTTGCAGAACTATGCAAAAACTAATAAACAGATTATCATTTTTAGGGGACTGGTATCTATGCCTGTAAAATCTAGCTAGGCTCCTTACATGCTTGCTAATAACTGTTTAAGCTGGGTCTCCAACACTGATTTGTGCAGCTGTGTTCATGAGGGAAAGGGAGCAAGAATGTGCTGCGCCAATGCAATCAAATTTTAGATTTTAAATAGGCCTAGTAAAAAAAATTAACGATTATCAATATGTGGCAGTCTGCGTTGATATTGTGGCGCCACAAATAAATTACATATGGGAAACACTGATTTAACAACTCGCCACTGCCTGTTAAAACAGATGCGGCGGATCAGAGGCTGCGGTTTTAACGTCACTGCACTCTTTCAAAAAAAGGTCAAAATCAACTAATACAGATATCTTCACCTGCTCAGCTCTCTCTCTGCTCTTCTCACAGCGCGTCAAATTCCACAGTCCTACTTCACAGTGAGATCGTGAAACACACGATGGCGCCAGTAAAGTTTACCTTCCTCCCGCTGTTTTTTTTTTTTTTTTTAATTGGCAGGTTAAGCTGGAGCTGAGTATAAAGTCACTAATAAGCGAATAACATTGCAAAAGAAACTCGTCACAGATTAGCTAATAATGTTAAGAATGCCCAAATCCTCTTAATTTTGCTGAAGCAGCTAACATTAAGTTAAGTAGCAACTCACCTGGTCAAGGCTAATTTCTGAAATGCCGACGCTTCTCCACCCACATCGTTGGATCAGGCCATGTCTAATTACTGAAACAACGTTGGTAACGTTACGAGCCACGGCTAATTACTGAAACGTCGACTCCACTCCACACATCGTTGGCACGGGCCAAGTTAATTACTGACACTCTATAAAGCAGCTAACTCAAACATTCAAACAACTACCAAGCGCCATAACTGTCCTTTTTTGAGGGGTGAATGTCATAAAAGATTCTGCTTGTGTTTCTTCTTAATAAAAGTAAAAAGTGACATTCGGACTAACATTTACGTTAAACACTGTAAAGTTGGGTTCACTGCTCAACACTAACGTTACATGCATTAATAAGCTGCTCTGAACTATCCTGTGTTCAGAAAGTTTCATGACAGCGATTCGTTTCTTCATAACTAACGTTAAGTTAATTGACTCATTGAATTGGGTTACAATTATTATAAATGACAGACTCACCTTGCTTCTCTTGCTCCAATCCGAAAAGACCCGCTTTTCCGCTGCCAAATCTCATCCAGATCTTTCTGGAAAAAACGTATTCATCCGCTGCTTACCTGCTCACCATTGTCAGTAGGCTTAATTTGCGTTCCTCTTCTTCTCTCAATGGGGAATTGCAATTGGGTGGTGCGCCTCATTAATGTGTTACAAAAATCAATCAGCATAGATATTAGTCGTATATCAGATCAAGATAAAATATTCAGGACTATTTGCACCGCGCATTAATACTGTCGCCACACCGGGGTCATGGTCACTTTTTAAGAGATCCGGTTACCATATTCCAACTCACACTTATAAATTAAACTGACACATTGAAATTTACATTTCACTGAACTGGCTTACAAACCTGAGTTGAAATAGTGATAACTCATTAAATTAAGTTGAAATTTCATAACTTATTATGTTAAGTGATGGTAAATTATAGAAAGAAGTTTCTATAACTTATTGATCCAATCCTTTTTTACAGTGTATCACATTCCTTACTATTACAAAATCTGTGCCTCCAGGGCAAGAGAGAGAGAGCGAGGGAGGGAGGGAGAGAGAAAGAGACCGGAAGAGAGCAGAGGATCCAATCAGAAAGTCAAGTCGAGGTCCAACAGCTCAGTTGGAAGTTGGAGCTGCTGGAATTCTGCTCATTGCTTTGAACTATGACTGAGGCAGAGTTGTACACGCGGTACAAGGGGGTCTATGTGCCTTCAGGTCTGCACCCTCCACAGAGCCTGAAATACTACGAGGAGTTCACTTTTCGCCCAGATGATACTCTCATCGCGACGTATCCCAAGTCAGGTGAGTCCTTGTTCTACGTGCGCACCAGTATTGAACATACAAACATCTTGAATAGGGAGGGGTCTCACACACAGTCTTGATGTTAAAGAATATTAAAGATACCACCCGGGGCCGTCCAAACGGCGCAGGACGTGCGCGGTGATTTCCCTCTTAACTTTAGTAGGCGTGCCTTTTTTCCCCCTTTTTTTTTTTAAAGAAATGCAATTGCGTAATTTGAACACAAGCTCTGTTGCCCCCTTTATATCCACGGTTTAGACTATACGCCTATCTGATGGTTTTTTTTGTCCCAACAACCTACACTTTCACTTTCACTTTCATTGATTTAAAAAAAATTATCACATAAGTTGTTTTATTTTGTCCTAAAACCACCTCTATTATAGCAGGGAAAACACATCATGGCAGCTGATAATGTTACTGTCATACTTTCCCCCCTGTGTTCAATAAGAAAGGAAGCTCACACGTGTCACATTCTTATTGCAGACTTGTGGAAGTGCTGTGGTTTTCAGCCTGCCTAGTCATTAGTGTAATTTTACATTTAAGAGAACCTCTTATGTCCGTTGTTTAGGTACGACCTGGCTGCAGGAGATTGTTCCTCTGATCATGAGTGGAGGAGATCCAGCTTCCGTTGAGACTCTTCATAACTGGGACCGCGTTCCCTGGCTGGAGGAGAGCCGGGCCTGCATCCTCAACCTTGAAGCGAGACCGTCACCCCGTATTTTTACGACACACTTCCACTACAACATGATGCCACCATCCTTCTTTGAAGTAAAGCCAAAGGTAAATCTGCCATATAGTCTAAAGGAATCATGTCTTCAAACAAACAGTATATTTCGAAGACCGAAAAGGGTTGAATGATTAATGGATGTCATGTCATCACTGCAGGTCATCTACGTCATGAGGAACCCCAAAGATGTGTTTACATCCTCCTTTCACTATTATGGGATAACAAACTTCCTGGTACACCCCGGCCCACAGAGCGACTTCCTCCACAAGTTCCTTGATGGAGACGGTATATCTAATGTTTACACCTATGCAGTATACAGTATTTATTCCTAATACAAAACACATCACAGAAAGTGACAGGAACCCTCAACTGAACTGTATTTTATGAAACAGCTGTGGTCACACAGCTGGACAGACCATGAGGTTTAATGCAAAGAATTAACCTTATTAACCTTACTTACATTATATGTAAAGTTATAATGTATGATAAAGGAAACTGTGTTTTGCTTCTAGTTATTTTTGGCTCTTGGTTTGACCATGTGAAGAGTTGGCTGAATGCTGAAGATAAAGAGCGCATACTGTACATCTCCTATGAAGAGCTGATAATGGTGAGACCTCCTAAAATCGCTTTTTCCAAACAATTCTGACCTGACAAGAATACACAGTCACACTGTGAGAATCACTGTATGTATGAGATAGTCTGTGTTTCTCTCTTGTGCAGGACCTGAAGGACTCTGTGGCCAGAATCGCTCAGTTCTTGGAGAAATCACTGGACACTGAGGTGATAGAGAAGATAGCAGACCGGTGTTTGTTCAAGAACATGAAGCAGAACAAAATGTCAAACTACTCCGCAGTTCCTTCTGAATTCATGGACCAGACAAAGTCAGAATTTCTCAGGAAAGGTCAGTTTACAACAATAACACAGTACACGTTAAATTCCACTGTTACTGGATGCAATCTATAGAGCCAAACGACATTTACTGGGAATGACCGCCTATAGAATATTACTGTACACACACTATACAGTGTAACACATTACTATATTTCTAGTGAGCAAAGTCATCATTTAAAATTGGGCCAGCTTTCCTTCAAATGTAATCTGATTCCTCTTTTTGCGTGCTGTGTTTCAGGAATTGCCGGAGACTGGAAAAACCAACTAACAGCGGCAGAAGCACAGCACTTTGATGCTGTTTACAAAGACAGAATGAAAGATGTCAAATATAAGTTTGCATGGGATTAAAATAAATTCACTGAAAATTCTTAATGGAAATCATCCCACCATACTGTGATGTAGTGTTGTAGTACTCGAGACCGGTCTTGGTCTTAAGACCACATATTGATGGTCTTGTCTCAGTCTCGGACATTGAGGACTCGGGATTTTATTTCAAGACCATAACTTTGGGAATATCAATAAATTGCTTTTGACTATCTGATATGTTAACAACCTAACTTTGATTGGAAGTAAAACAAATTGCTTCAAATGCAACCAATAACCCTAATTAACGACGTCACCCCTCCCTGCGATGCTTATGTTGATTTCAGCTCTTAGTGTTTGTATGTGGGTGTTTTAATGGGAATGTGGATCTTTCAGATCAATTTGTGAAGTACCTATGATCTCGTTCCACATTGTATTGCATGCCATGCAATGCCCTCCCTCGGTCTTGGTCTTGGATCAGTCTCAGCCCCTAAAAGTCTCGTATTGGTCTCGATAAACTCTGGCCTTGGTCTTGACTACAACACTACTGTGATGCACAGAAACCTCTGAAGATGCAGTTGATTTACTTCAATTTAAAGGCCATAATGATCTTATTATCAATAACTATAACAGTAACTGGTATACATATATATATATACCAGACGTTGTGTATCACATACTCACGAGTACAGAAAGAGCATACTAACACATGTTAATAAATAAACAAATAAATAAACAGTTGACCTTTTTACTCTTCCTGAAACAACATTCCCGAAAGGGTCATTCTTTGTTACACCATGAACACATTCATCTAGCTGAGCTTGGAAGTTTATGTTTTAATCAACTACTCTGTTATATGTTGAAAAAAAACCCAGGATTTATAAGCATCCTGATTTTTCTTTTTTTTCCTGTCGACCCAACAACCTACAGAACCTCTTACATTATGTTAAGTATTTTTTATTTGCAGTCCAGTGGAGAGTGCTGTCAGTCAGTTTTATTTAAATAGGGTGTGTGCGCTACACCTATTACATACAGTATAAAACCCTGAAAGCACATTTTAAACATAACAGAACCTGTATTATGCATGTACGATAAATAACCTGATAACTTAATAAATGTTATAACTCTGCACTGAAATGATTGGACTGTTTTAGTTAAGTTCGTCAAAGTGTCATCCCAACAGTCCCGTGTTTCACAGTTTAAAAGGCCAAAAGAAGCAGCAAGGGAAGCCCCTCAAAAGAAATTAGTTAATTAACACAAGACAATCTCTATTTGTAGTTTGTTTTCAAAAAGCTATTCCCTATGGTTCCTTAATAGAGGACGTAGCAGCATTGTTGGCCATTTGTTCAAATGGTTAATTTGCTCAAAGTTAATTTGAATTCCAAAGTAAGCACGCTTTCCGATGAAAATGGAAATTCAATTTTCAACAAACATCAAATTGTACTATCCATATTGAGAACAGGGATGGACAAGAGCAGGACCCATATCTCTGGCTTCCCAACGAACTGAAGTCCAGTTTCAGCTCTGTGTTGGTCTCAACCGGCTCCTCAGAAAAATATATCTGGTTCGATCTCTGATGTCTCACAATCAAATTAAGTTTACTTACTTGCCTTATAAATTGAAATTTGGCAATTTATAGTTCCCAGATTGTTACACCGTTATCCCTTAACTTCACATCATGTTCCCTTGTAACGGCCCATGCTGTACTGGTACTCTATTAGTATAAAAAAAAGGCAATATAAATTGGGAAGAATAAAGCGTTACCCAGATACCAACTACTTGACAAGCAGAACAAAGCCAAATTAAAATTGTTCCTTTGTATTTTTCAACCATAGTTGGTCAAAAGGAGTACTTTTTACTGTTTGTTTTTGGCTGTGCGCCTTTTGCTTTTAAACAGAAGATAATTTCAGCCTTCAGCTTGAGGGTGAATGTTTCATCAACAGTGTAAGAAACAACAGCTAAACTGATCTCAAATGTAGCCTACAGCCCCAGTTGCACCTGTTGTCACAGGACTATAATTTCAGAATGACATGTGCACAAGGGCATCAATTTGTGTTAAAAAGTGGTGGGACATAACGGCTCAGATTAGAGGTGTGATGATACACTTGGATCAAGAGATGCGACGAAGCACGAGAAGATTTTTAACACCATTTTGAAGAAATAGTAAATGCTGAAATAAATGAGCGGGGGTTCTGGGTGTCCTCCCCCAGAAAGTTGTAGCATTAAACACTTCATTTCCTTCAGTCTGACATTCTGTTCCAGTTTATGGTGGAAATGTCTTTATATAAGAGGGAAACAAAATTCAGCTGGCAGGCAGCATTTTCATAAATATAACGCAGTACTTACCAGCTTTATTTTAGCTCAAGTCACTTTTTTGGGACAGTGCACATTTGTTTTGTCTACAGACAACATAATGGGTGCTAGTAGGCTACTACGCATGTGACAATGATTTGATATTAGCAGCTTTTGGCTTTGCTCAGGTCGCAGTTATTTGTGACGTGTGTGGATCGGCGTTGACATTTGGACTGAGCATCCACCCCCCCCACACCTTAACTAATCATTTCATCTGGTAAAGACCTGTGGCCATACGGTCATTTCTTCTGCGTTTGTCTCGCTCTCTTGATGCGTTTTGGAGAAGCAGCTGTCAGAAACTAAACCTTGCAGGTGCAGTAATGTCACAGCAAGCAACATGTGTGATAGAGAAGCAATAGGCAGACAGGAAACTCGCCAGCTGAAACAGTCAGTTAGCGTCCAAAATACAAGCTGATCAACATGAGCTAATCAGACAAGGATTTAACGGCACCTGCCATATTAGTCTTCTGAAACTTTGTGGTTAGTATCCTGGCAGCAGCAACCCTTTGAGCTGAATTTATGCAATTGGCTAAACTCAGAAAGCTCTCCTGGTTTAGACAGGGATTTGTTGGAAACCATAGGCTGTTGTCAGTGAGCCTTTTCATTAAATCTCTGAAAAATAAGGAAACAAAAATAAAGTTCATAGTTTTATTTAAAGCAGAGGCAAAAAGCAAAACCTTGGATGCAAGTGAACTCCTGCATGGTTCCTAGTCCCATACTTATGGCTTCTTGATGAAAGGCCACCAGATGCCCTTTTTGGCCCAGCTCGGCAGAGTGGCCGGCGCCGGCCCCACAGTGGGCCCGCTCGGCAGAGTGGCCGGCGCCGGCCCCACAGTGGGCCCGCCCGGCGTGGTCGGCGCCACAGTGGGCCCGCCTGGCGTGGTCGTCGCCGGCTCCACAGCGGCCCTGGCTTTATTGCAATATGACAGAATATGCAACTGACTGCATCCATGATGTTCTAGTATGTACATATTTTATTTGCATGACTGATGTAGACAGCCATTCTAGACGTCACATGGTGTGCTCAGATTAACTACATTGAGATTATGAACTAAGGCGCTACACCAACATGCATTTTACCAGTAGGGTTTCGTAGAATCTTCTCCTGTAACATCTCACTGCAACAACTCTGTAGTACAAAGCAGTTACTGTCAGCCTGACGCTCTGAATATATCACAAGTGTTCTTACCTCTTACTCTCCTCTGCAGCCCATCATGTCTTTCATTTGGGCCACCAACTGGCAAACAAGAGCCTATGGACAGTGCACTCACTGTTAATTTATGTTTGTGCCATTTCAAAACACAGATCAGTTTGTCACAGTAACATTTCAGGAATGAACAAACTTTTAGAAGTTACAGCAAGGCATTGGCTTCTCATAGCAAAAACATTTTGGCTCAAACACAACTTTACAACTACCAATTTCTTCAACACATGCTTCAAACAGAAGGAATATAAAAACCTTTAGCAAGAAAAACAGTCAGCACGCAAATAACCAAGACCTGAACAGCTCCCATTGCTTCAGTCACCAAGAGGAAATGCTACCTGTGCCACATGTGAGGGTTAAAAAGCCCATCATGCTGGTGACACAGCTGTTGCTGATCAGCTCTAATTGGCTCTCAGAGGAGTCAGTGGGCCTGTCTCACTTCATCAGCAACATGTGAACCTGTACAAAGTGCATATAGGGTACGTGGGGACTTTGCTGTTGCTGCTCTAGAAACAACATCTAGTGATATTGAAAAGTCAGCAGGCGTTTCTCATTTCTCAGTGTGTACCTCCTCTCTTGGCCTCGGCTGTGTGCCTTTTGCCTGTGAACAGGAGATCATTTCAGCCCTCAGCTTGATGAGGGTGAACGTTTCATCATCATCAACAGCAAAAGTTGATCTCAATAACTTATAATATAAATTATGAATAAATTATAATAATAACAATAATAACTTTTGTTCAGAGAAGATGACTTTCAGAGATTGTTTACCATAAATATTAATGGTGGCATATGTTGACATCAATTTAAGAATATATCAGTCCAGATAACTGGATTGCTCCTTTGGACCAGCTGCAACTCATGTTAAACATCAACAGGTTGTTCATCAAACAGGCAGGCAGGAGAGTCTTAATATATTTGACATTTTACAACAAACCTGGACCACACAAATGAAATATTATTTTGATCCTTTACAAGTACATCCCTTACCGATGACCTTGCTCTTGTTTCCTTTCTGAGTGGAGGGATAGAAGCTAAAAAAATACTTTGATATGACTAACTTGAAATTCTAGCTCAAGAGGACTGTGGATACTTTCCTAAGTTAATATGTGAGGAGAGAAAGATTTTTCAGCCAGGAGGAATGATTAGAGCCACCAAAAACAAACATAGCTGATTGATTTTAAATAGACTCTGAAATGAATTCAGCAAAAAAACCAACAAAAGAAAGTTGTGCCACATAGATGTACACGTCAAGTTAGTTACAGCTAATGGGAACAGGCGGCATTTATTTAATTCAAACTGGCCAAAATGGCAAGAATGTTTATACTGTTAAATAATAAATGTAAATGCTATAGCGCCTTTCTAGTCTTTTGATTGATGGCTGGGAGCCTAAGTCAACTGCACATCAGCAAGGAAATAACAAGCAAGTTGCATAGCAAGTTGGGGTTCAGTGTCTTGCCCAAGGACACTTCAACATGCAGCCTTGGGGAAGCCGGGGATTAAACCGCCGACATTCTGGTTAGCGGACGACTGCTCTACCCACGAGCCACAGCTGTCCCAATATGGTGATGGTGATGTTTATGTTCTCCTGATTTTCCTCCCCAGCCAGCCACTGAAAGCTTTCCAGATATACTGTGAATGTTTTCAAACAAGAATTGATGTACATAATTGGGAGGAAGTAAAAATCATAACATTATGTTTTGTGATGCAGATCGAAGCACATTATGAAATCTGAAAAGGCACATGTTTGGGGTCGCTCTCCTCTGTGACTCCTGAATGTAGCCTCATGCTAATACATGAGGCTACATTCAGGAGTCACGTAGGTCTCTGAAAGATAATTAACTGTTTAACCTGGTGTGACTGAATACCTCAGATGCTGTACAGGCACAACCTCATTTACCAGATCAGCAGCCACTATTGGTTTATTTTAATTTGATGCTGTTTCTTATTTAAGTAAAATTGACAAGAGAATGCTCCATTATGAGCAAAGCATTAAAATTTTACTTCAAGATACAATATGTAACATTTACACATTAAAATGTCCAAAAACGAGTGGAGCTATAGGATCAAAACTCTTTAGTTTATATATAAAGAACCTTTCTGAATCATGTTCTGGGGTTGGTCACCAGATCTACGTTGATGATACAGTCATATACACTTATGGAAAAACAGATTACAGTTATAGACCAGTTGTTTTAGCACCTAGAAGCAATAGCTGTTGGCTTGAAAATTCATGTTTGACAGTGGGGAGAGAGAAGTATACATGACATTCCATCAAACTAATTTTGACAGCTACTACCGGCCCCGCCCCCATACCGGATACGTGTATGTAACTGATAAGAGGGGTGTATCCGGTCCCGCCCCAACCGGAAATATGTCTGTATGTATCTGATAAGAGGGTGCATCCGGTCCCGCCCCAACCGTTGGAGGAGGTTTTTCCATTGATTTAAAGACTTTATTAAGTAATAAAACTTGAATGAATTAACTAGTAGGTGTTTATGGCAATAAATTTATCATTAAAAAAGTATAGCAGTGAGTTATAAGTAAAGGAAGAATCTCCGGGGCCAGCAAAGGATCAGTAGGAGGTTTCTTTGGAATCAAGTCAGTCTTTATTATTAAACAAGTGAAGAATAAATTGAAATAATGACAGTAAATCAGTAAAATGGTATAACGGTGAGTAAAAAGTAAACAGCATTATAAATTACCTTCAACAGCATGCAGCAAAATAAGAGTGAGCTCCAAAATTAAACTTAAGTTAAACTAAAGTAAAATCTTTGCTAAAGCTTTGTGTGACAAATTTACCATCATTAAAGAACTAAAGAATAAATTTAAATAATTACAGTAAAGCAGTAAAATGGTATAACGGTGAGTAAAAAGTAAACAGTATTATAAATTACCTTCAACAGCATGCAGCAAAATAAGAGAGTGTTCCAAATTAATTTGCTAGTGTTTTGTCTTACAAACTTGCCATCATTATCACTCCAAAGCTGTAGCCTAGTCTTAAACTTGTGAGTCTTAAAACTTTAATCCTTCTAGAGTCTGTGTCTCCTCTTCTCTGTCCTCTCTCTTTCTGGTGTAGCATAGGCTGTGCAGGGTGAATTGAGGAATGTGCTCCACCCCCCGCACCTTCCATCCCTCCCCTCCCTCTCTTTTCTCAATGAGCCACATCAAGTTGTGTGTTTAACTGTCATCCTCGGGTAATCTTGTAGACCAGTTATTAACTATGGTTATCTATAACCCAGACTCCGGATGTTAAAAAACGGTCTGGTTTTATCAGACAGAGTTCGTTTTTGAAACAGGAACCTATTTCTATCAGCCGGAGACAAGAGTTTGGAACTACATAATAATCTGGTTGTACCAGAAGTAACGGCCCCAACCCCTCATCAGTTATCTCCCACATGCCGTCACATACAAATAAGGGGGTGGGCAGAGTTTCCTTGAGCCAGTGATAAGAGACTAGGAGGGGTTACCATAGACCAATGATGGGAGTCTGTGAAAATAAAAGGAGTCCATATAGTCATTCAGAAACATAACAAAACTATTCCAAAACAACCTAAACATGAGCAAGAGAGCAGCCAATTCGAAGATGATCAGCCAGACACCTGTAACGGGTTATCAAAACTCAACCCCGGGAGGAGCCCCAAAGAAACGAGTGTTGTATTTGAGTCGGATCCAGACGCCGCCCCCCGATACACTTCATGAGGAATGGAATTTAGATTCAGGACGTGTCTGGGGGTATGCGTTCAATTATGATGTAAACGAACTTTGTTTTTACCAGTTGGAGAAAGGTGAAACATTTGGACCCCTCACAGCAAAGGCAACGCTCACATCAACGGACTGTGCTGACTCTGTTGGTTTTAAACAATCTCAAAGCCGCGACGTCCGAGGAACCTGCTACAAAAGACAAGCAGACTCAAACAACTGTGAGAATCAAGCAGGAAGTTCCACTCGTGTTTGTTCCTAAAAAAATTGTTTCCTGTAGTGTTTGGGAGACAAAAAGCTCAGCTTCCGGCAGATGGTTCTACTGTGCAAGCCATCAGAAGAGTGAAGGAGATGAAGCCTTGGATGAATTTGTCTTGCAGTATTTCAATACTGAATGTGGCGTGTTTCAGACTTCATTAAGGATACCTGTCGAGGTTTGGATGGAAATGATGTTTGAAAAAGCAGAAAAGCTAAAAGTTCTCTTCAAAAAAAGTCAGACCTGTATACTTCTCTCTCTGTGGGGAAATTGCGGTTTGCAACAGCTAAGACAAGAGCAGAGATAGATAAGTGTACAAAGTAGCATAAACAAGTGTCAGACAAGAAAGTACCGTTCTTACAGTAAATAAAAAAACAAAAAACAAAGTTACTGTACATTAAATAAGACTGAAGGACTATGCCTTACAGTCTCCTGCGGCATAAATAAATACTGGTAGTATAAAAGTGTTGTAGAAGGGCAATGCACATAAGTCAGATATAGCAAACTGTATTATACAATAATTGCACATTAGTAAAATGCATATTAGTAAAATTGCACAAATGAAAATTATGCACAGATGTAATAATGGCACATGGGATATATTGCACAGAGTCAACGGTGTTCATTGTACAGTCTGATGGCCGCTGGAAGGAAAGATCTGCGGTATCTGTCCTTCTGACTGACAGGGTGTAGTGCAGGGGGTGTGACTCATGGTCCAGCATAGCTGTCAGTTTAGCCAGGACCCTTCTGTCTCCCACCTCCCTCACTGAGTCCATAGGACAGCCCAGGACAGAGCTGGATTTCTTTATCACCTTGTCCAACTTTTCTGTCCCTCTCAGTGATGCTGCTGCTCCAGCAGACCACAGTGTAGAGGATGGCTGACGCGACCACAGAGTCATAAAAAGTCTTTAGGAGGGGGCCTGTCACTCCAAAGGACCTCAAGGAAGTACAGCCTGCTCTGACCCCTCTTGTATAGAGCATCTGTGTTGTGCCGTGTCTGAGTGTGAAGATGAAGGGGGCCAGGACAGTCCCCTGGGGGGGCACTACACATGAGACGGTCAGACACACCGTCACGTGCTCTCACAAACTGTGGCCGGTTCGTGAGATAGTTGAACTGTGTCAGTCTTAACACATTTAGATTAATCAGAGACTTTTGAGAAGAAGTAGCTGCCATAAAATGGGCCTCATCTTTCTTCAACACTTGGTATAGTCAGACAGAGATGTCAACAAGTAACAGCATATCACACATACATGTTATGTGGCAAATTAAAACGGAGCAGACTGATGACTCATGTATTCAAACACACAGTATGTTTTGTAGACGGAACAGGGTTGAGTGTTCAAAGTTCCATGAATGAATAATAGTTATCACGTCATCACTGCAGGTCATCTATGTCATGAGGAACCCCAAAGATGTGTTTTTAATATAGTATAATCATTCGCAAAATGTGCTTGTGTATAAAGAAAAAAAAGGGGGTGGGGTTATATAACAAGCACTTGGTTTACATAACATTTTCACATTTTTTTTTTCTTTCATTTCTCTGTTGGCTATATAAACAGCTGTTTTAAGAGGAAGCCCTACACATGCGTATTTATAGGACTACCATATGAGCCCTGAATTTGTTCTATTTAAGTTTTTTTTTTTATTCTATTAATGCTCGAAACACATTAATTCCTAAAATGCATCTCAAGAGGGGAAAGAAATTGAGGAGGTACAAACTGAGAAAGGCCTAAAGGACCTCCCACAGATTCAAAAGTAGAGGTCTCTTCTCAGATTGTAGCCTACCTCCTCAATTCCGCTTAGCCTTGGTTGTGTACCGTTATCTTTAAAACAGATCATTTCAGCGAAAGCCTCAAATGTAGCCTACAGCTCCAGTTCAATTCAATTTTATTTATATAGCGCCAAATCACAACAACAGTTATCTCACAGCGCTTTTCATAAAAGAGCAGGTCTAGACCATACTCTGTGACGTTATTTACAGAAGCCCAACAGTTCCCACCAAGAGCAAGCACTAGGCGACAGAGACAAGGAAAAACTTCCTTTTAAGAGGCAGAAACCGCGAGCAGAACCATGGCTCAGGGTGGGCGGCCATCTGCCTCGACCGGTTGGGGTGAAGGAGAGAGAGAGAGGCAGCCTACACAATATACACACAGAGGTACAGACAGTGAAGGTGATGTTGCTATAGACTAAATGAAATATGGTACAGATATTTATAGTAGTGTTAATGGTAACAATTGTAATGTTAATGATTATAACAACAACAATAAGACTAGCAACAATAGTCGTTGCAGCAGAGGGTGTCGAGCAGGAACACGGGGGCAGCAGGTGACCCGCAACCACAGATCCAGAAACACCTGCAGGAAGTGATAGGAGGAGAAGACGAGAAAGCACAAGACTATCAGAAAGGGGAGAAGTTGTGTTATTAACATGCATTAATAGGATGAGGTTGCATACAGAGGGAGAGAAAGTAGAGGAGAGAGGAGCTCAGTGCATCATGGGAAATCCCCCGGCAGTCTAGGCCTATAGCAGCATAACTAAGGGATGGTTCAGGACTCACCTGAGCCAGCCCTAACTATAAGCTTTATCAAAGAGGAAAGTCTTAAGCCTACTCTTAAATGTGGAGATGGTGTCTGCCTCCTGAACCCAAACTGGAACCTGGTTCCACAGGAGAGGAGCTTGATAGCTGAATGCTCTGGCTCCTAGTCTACTTTTGGAGACTCTAGGAACCACAAGTAACCCTGCATTCTGGGAGCGCAGTGCTCTGGTGGGGTAGTAAGGTACTATGAGCTCTTTAAGATAAGATGGTGCCTGACCATTAAGAGCTTTGTAGGTAAGAAGGATGATTTTAAATTCTATTCTGGATTTTACTGGAAGCCAATTCAAAGAATCTAAAACAGGGGAAATGTGATCTCTTTTCCTGGTTCCTGTCAGAACACGTGCTGCAGCATTCTGGATCAGCTGAAGAGTCTTAATGGACTTTTTCGAGCAGCCTGATAAGGAATTGCAGTAATCCAGCCTAGAAGTAACAAATGCATGGACTAGTTTTTCCTGCATCATTTTTAGACAGGATGTGCCACCTGCGGTCACAGGACTATACTTTTGGAATGACATGTGCCGACCACATAACGGGTGCTATGAGGATGCTCATTGTAATAGCCCAATAATGACGTTAGCTGCTGTTTGCACTTGTCAGGTCACAATAAGAATTTGATGTGTGAATCTGCTTGGACATTTTGGAACCTGCATGTAGACTGGGCAATCACCAGAACTAGTTTTACCTGCAACTGCACAGTCATTTCTTTATCAGCGCATGTGATTTCGTGTGTATTGCATTCATGCATTTAACAGTTTACTTTGAGAGGCTGCTTTCAGTAATTGTAAGTGCTGCAGACCGTAGTGAAGCAGCAAAAGGCCTACTACAAATTGTAGCCTATAAATGTGACAGGGCAGACTGGAAACTTGCCAGCTGAAACGAGTCAACATTTAGCTTCTAAAACACAAGCTGATCAAAATTAGCTAATCAGACAAGGATTTAACAGCACCTGAAACTGCATCTTTGTGATTAGTATCCTGGCAGCAGCAACCCTTTGAGCTGAATTGATGCAATTGGCTAAACTCAGAAAGCTCTCCTGGTTTAAACAGCCAATACAGGGATTTGTTGGAAACCATAGGCTGTTGTCAGTGAGCCTTTTCATTAAATCTCTGAAAAATGAGGAGACAAAAATCAAGTTCATAGTTTTATTTAAAGCAGAGGCAAAAAGCAAAACCTTGGATGCAAGTGAACTCCTGCATGGTTCCTAGTCCCATACTTTTATGGCTTCTTGATGAAAGGCCACCAGATGCCCTTTTTGGCCCAGCTCGGCAGCGTCGCCGGCTCCACAGTGGGCCCGCCCGCGTGGTCGTCGCCGGCTCCACAGTGAGCCCGCCCGGCGTGGTCGTCGCCGGCTCCACAGTGAGCCCGCCCGGCGTGGTCGTCGCCGGCTCCACAGTGAGCCCGCCCGGCGTGGTCGTCGCCGGCTCCACAGTGAGCCCGCCCGGCGTGGTCGTCGCCGGCTCCACAGTGAGCCCGCCCGGCGTGGTCGTCGCGGCTCCACAGTGAGCCCGCCCGGCGTGGTCGTCGCCGGCTCCACAGTGAGCCCGCCCGGCGTGGTCGTCGCCGGCTCCACAGTGAGCCCGCCCGGCGTGGTCGTCGCCGGCTCCACAGTGAGCCGCCCGGCGTGGTCGTCGCCGGCTCCACAGTGAGCCCGCCCGGCGTGGTCGTCGCCGGCTCCACAGTGAGCCCGCCGGCGTGGTCGTCGCCGGCTCCACAGTGAGCCCGCCGGCGTGGTCGTCGCCGGCTCCACAGTGAGCCCGCCCGGCGTGGTCGTCGCCACAGTGAGCCCGCCCGGCGTGGTCGTCGCCGGCTCCACAGTGAGCCCGCCCGGCGTGGTCGTCGCCACAGTGAGCCCGCCCGGCGTGGTCGCCACAGTGAGCCCGCCCGGCGTGGTCGTCGCCACAGTGAGCCCGCCCGGCGTGGTCGTCGCCACAGTGAGCCGCCCGGCGTGGTCGTCGCCACAGTGAGCCCGCCCGGCGTGGTCGTCGCCACAGTGAGCCCGCCCGGCGTGGTCGTCGCCACAGTGGGCCCGCCCGGCGTGGTCGTCGCCACAGTGGGCCCGCCCGGCGTGGTCGTCGCCGGCTCCACAGCGGCCCTGGCTTTATTGCAATATGACAGAATATGCAACTGACTGCATCCATGATGTTCTAGTATGTACATATTTTATTTGCATGACTGATGTAGACAGCCATTCTAGACGTCACATGGTGTGCTCAGATTAACTACATTGAGATTATGAACTAAGGCGCTACACCAACATGCATTTTACCAGTAGGGTTTCGTAGAATCTTCTCCTGTAACATCTCACTGCAACAACTCTGTAGTACAAAGCAGTTACTGTCAGCCTGACGCTCTGAATATATCACAAGTGTTCTTACCTCTTACTCTCCTCTGCAGCCCATCATGTCTTTCATTTGGGCCACCAACTGGCAAACAAGAGCCTATGGACAGTGCACTCACTGTTAATTTATGTTTGTGCCATTTCAAAACACAGATCAGTTTGTCACAGTAACATTTCAGGAATGAACAAACTTTTAGAAGTTACAGCAAGGCATTGGCTTCTCATAGCAAAAACATTTTGGCTCAAACACAACTTTACAACTACCAATTTCTTCAACACATGCTTCAAACAGAAGGAATATAAAAACCTTTAGCAAGAAAAACAGTCAGCACGCAAATAACCAAGACCTGAACAGCTCCCATTGCTTCAGTCACCAAGAGGAAATGCTACCTGTGCCACATGTGAGGGTTAAAAAGCCCATCATGCTGGTGACACAGCTGTTGCTGATCAGCTCTAATTGGCTCTCACCTCAGAGGAGTCAGTGGGCCTGTCTCACTTCATCAGCAACATGTGAACCTGTACAAAGTGCATATAGGGTACGTGGGGACTTTGCTGTTGCTGCTCTAGAAACAACATCTAGTGATATTGAAAAGTCAGCAGGCGTTTCTCATTTCTCAGTGTGTACCTCCTCTCTTGGCCTCGGCTGTGTGCCTTTTGCCTGTGAACAGGAGATCATTTCAGCCCTCAGCTTGATGAGGGTGAACGTTTCATCATCATCAACAGCAAAAGTTGATCTCAATAACTTATAATATAAATTATGAATAAATTATAATAATAACAATAATAACTTTTGTTCAGAGAAGATGACTTTCAGAGATTGTTTATTTATATATATATATTATATATATATATATATATATATATATATATATATATATATATATTATTGTGTGTGTACGTCTTGTGTCAAGTGAAAAAAGAAATTGTTTGGCCTGTGGGTATATAAAACATACTTTTCTTAGCCGAAAAGGGTTGAGTCGAGGGCAACTGGACTTGGTTGAAGAAGCTTGAAGATTTTTCACCTCTCATCCAATGGGCATCTTCAGTTCTAAATGACTGGTGGGGAGTTCCAGGCATTTTAGCTCTATGGGGTTGTAATCAAAATCATTGATACTAATTAGTGGTTGGTGATCCTGGCTATTGTAACAATGGTCATTAGGGTCCATGTTGTCAACTGACGCCAAGTGTAAACAACAGTCTTCGGAATTTTCAGGAGGCCAAATATGACCAGTTGTTAAATCTTCTAGGAAGATATGAAAAGACAGCATTATATATGGGGGATAAGTGGTGTCATATATCTCCCCTGTTGTGAGATGGTTTCTCTATTCTGGTGTAAATATCATCCTTCACTCCTCTTTCAAACCATCTGTCTTACCTATCCAACAGTAATGGAATCACAATGTTGTTGCATTTTTCCTCCTTGTCTTTACCTCTCATGTGAAAGATCCAAGAACAACATCATGGCTTATTTGGAGTGTGGCATTCACATTGAAGAGGGCAGGAACCTCCACATTGGAGTATCCAGGAAACCCACACACACAGACCTACCAGTACTTACTTAATACCATCACTAACCACTGGAGCACAAGCAAGGAGTTGTCAAAACTCTGCACCACCAAGTTGATAATGTACCAACAAGTGCCCAGGCCCTAGAGAAGGAGCACAAATAACTGAATGATGCACTTAATTGTGGATACTCTTACTGGACCCTTGTGAAAACAGCCACAAGATCCAGGAGGAACTCTAACACTGTGGTTGGTGAAGAAACGAAGGAAAAATATAACAGCGTCATTCATACGTGTCAGGAGTATCTGAGAAACTCCACATCCCTGTGTTTTTCAAACCCAGCAACACACTAAGATAGAAACTGGTCCACCTGAAAGACTCCACCCCCAAAGACAAGAAAAGCACAGCGTATACCGTCCAGTGCAGTGAGGAATGCACAGATTTGTATATTGGGGAAACCAAACCACCATTAATCAAATGCATGACTCAACACAGGAAGGGTAACTCCTCAGTTTAAGACTCAGCAGTTTACCTAAACCTGGAGAATAAGGCACACTCTTTTGAAGACAACAACATACATATTTTGGATAGAGAGGACAGATAGTTTTAAAGAGGAATGAAGGAGGCTATCTAGTTCAAAGTAGAGAAACCATCTCTCAAGAAAGGAGGATGTCTACCAAACTTATCCCCTACATATGATGTTGTCCTTCATCTCTTTGCCAAGAGATTGTAGGAGTGAAAAGTTTGTTTACATTTGGCCTCAGCTGACTCCATGGACCCAAACTACCGTTAGGGTTGTACATTTAAAGTCTCCAACAAATTACTTTTAACATGTTTTTTTGGTAACAGGGTTGACACAATGAGCTCGTCCCCTCCGTGAGACATTACGAAACTCCAAACAAATCCATTAAAGGAGGTGACAATTACTTGTCTTTTACCATAAACTTCATTAAAAGGCAGGTGATGTCACTTCCTGGAAATTATGCAACTTTTGGAATAGTCCATTAGCTTTAAAGGGTGTTTTCATTAAAAGTAACAGGGTTGACAGCAACATGGGGACCCGACTAAGTTGTTGTTGGCAATATTTTACACATTAAGAATAAAACCCATTCATGAATAATGAAACAACAAATGAGGCTTTATATAGGTTTAAGTTTCTGTATGATAGTTTTTTGGCCTCAATAGCTAGAAGTAGAAAAGTCATACTGAGGGACAGGCCATTTTCAAAAGTTCTGCAAGATGCTTTGCACAAAAATGAGATAAAAATCCTTTAAAAACAAAAGAAACAGAAATTAATTTTCACTTATGGAAATTCAATTATAAAATTTTGTTTTATGGCTTATTAAGATTTACAGAGCTTTTTTTCCCCCTCCCAGAGGGACACAAAATGGCACGTTTTCGTATAATGACCCAAGCAGGTATCTGGAAAGGCCCCAGTCTACACACACACACACACCGTTTTCTGGCTGCCAAGTCAAGTTTTACATGTTAATATTGTTAAACGCTGAGCCTCATACTGTCCTCACTGTAGTTGGGAAACTTCTGTGTGTCAACTGAGCTGGGTGTGTCAGTAGTCAAGTGTCATAATTTCCTTTAAAGACATTTTCTGTTCCAGTTTATGGGGGAAATTTCTTTATATAAAAAGGGATTCAGCTGGCATTCTAAATATAACAGTACTCACCAGCTGTTTTTTTTAAGCTCAAGTCACTTTATGGGACAGTGCACATTTGTTTTGTCTATAGTTAAGTTGCATTTTTTATTATTGTGCATATAAACCTCTCAAAGCATTTATTTGTCATTTAACATTTCTTGGTGCAAGCCATTTTCCGAACATTTAACGGGCTTTCCAAACGTGACTGGGACAAAAGTCAGCAGATTTAGAGTGGTGGGGACATGTCCCCAGCCTAAGTGACACAGATGCATGTGCAGGTTACATAATGGGTGCCATTAGGCTACTATGACAATGATTTGATTAGCCGCCGTTTGCGCTTCTCAGGTCACAATATTTGATGTGCAGACATTTGGAATCTGCATGCGGACTGGGCATCCATCACCCACCCGAAATCATTTCATCTGGTACAGACCTGCGAGTGCACGGACATTTCTATCGGTTCCTGTAGGCGATAGTGTTTTGTCTTGATGCGGCTGCTGTCAGTAACTAACATTGCAGGTGCAGTAATGTCACAGCAAGCAGCAGTAGGCACGTACTACAAACTAGCCAGCTGAAACAACATTTAGCTTCTAAGATACAAGCTGATCAAAGTTAGCTAATCAGACAAGGATTTAACGGGACCTGCCATATTGGTCTTCTGAAACTGCATCTTTGTGGTTAGTATCTGCAGCAGCAACCCTTTGAGCTGAATTGATGCAATTGGCTAAACTCCGAAAGCTCTCCTGGTTTAAACAGCCAATACAGGGATTTGTTGGAAACCATAGGCTGTTGTCAGTCATTAAGTCTCCGAAAAATAAGGAAACAAATCAAGTTCATGGTTTTATTTAAGCAGAGGCAAAAAGCAAAACCTTGGATGCAAGTGAACTCCTGCATGGTTCCTAGTCCCATACTTTTATGGCTTCTTGATGAGACCACCAGATGCCCTTTCTGGCTGTGTTGGTCATGTCAGCTGGCTACTGGGGGTCTTGCGGGGCCTCAGAGGTCATCAGCTGCAGAGGAGAAAGCACATTTGTGATATTTTCAGGGCTTAATTCTGACACCAATTGCTTTGTACTACAGCAGGTGAGCAGATTTGATGAAACCCTACTGCAGTCGCTGGTGGTCCCCGCCGTTGGGGCCTCGCTGGTGGTCCCAGCTTTATTGCAAAATTACAGCATAAAAATTCAGCTTTGACTGAGTCTGTGATGATGTATGTAGGCATTTATTTGCATGACTGACGTAAACAGCCATTGTAGACTTCACATGGTGTGCTCAGATTAACTACATTGAGATTATGAACTAAGGCCTACACCAACATGCATTTTACCAGTAGGGTTTCATAGAATCTTCTCCTGTAACAACTCTGTAGTACAAAGCAGTTACTGTCAGCCTGACGCTCTGAATATATCACAAGTGTTCTTACCTCTTACTCTCCTCTGCAGCCCATCAGGTCTTTCATTTGGGCCACCAACTGGCAAACAAGAGCCATCATCAACAGCAAAAGTTGAACTTTTATAATAATAATAATAATAATAATAATAACTTTTGTTCAGAGAAGATGACTTTCAGAGATTGTTTATTATATATATAATGTGTGTATGTCTAGTATGTTAATGTAAATATTGGTTGCTTACTTTTATGCTATCATTTGCTAATTAGCACTAAACAGTATTTCTTTTTTTTTTACATTTTCGGGTATTTTGGTCATAAATCAAAGTAATGGTCAAGTGGAAAATTAGACTAGAAATTCACCAGGGACCACCAATGACAGTAGGGTTGTTTCTGTGGGATCTATAATATGCTAAATATAGTATATTTTACTACAACAACTAAATGGAAAAACAAACTAACAGCAGCAGAATTGTAGTGCTTTGACGCTGTTTAGAAAGACAAAATGAAAAATGACAAAGATAAATTTGTATGAGATTAAAATGCTGCAGCAGTGCTATCATTGGTTTGTGTGACGGCTAAACTGATCTTATGACCTTATGACCTTTATTACTTCAATTAAGTTTGATCTAGACATCTTTGTATTATTACAAACTTGATCGCAGTATTACCATGTTTGTGCATGTTTATCAATAAATAAATCTTTCTTAGACTCTAAGTTTCTGAGTCCTAAGCTACAGTTTGCCTATTATTCTTTCCTTCAGAGTTTACTTTGACACTTTAATTGGTCTACTTTGCAATGCACCATAAAGATGGATTGTGAAGCTGAGACTTTTGAAATTCAGTTCAACAGCTGAAATTACAA